GTGAAAACAAACCATTACAGTAGCACATTTTAAGCGAATCCAATTATCCCAAAATAGTTCCAATTGTGTTAATATCTTCTACCCTGTCCAGCTTACGATTCCCATCCCTTGTAGTTTGTCCATTAAATGTTATCATCCTTCAAGTCCGGAGAATCGGATCTGGTTTTAAAGGTGTATTATGAAAATAGAACATGTAAATTTTAGTATTGTTGTTTGATACTGCATGTTAACTGTAACGACTATATTGGATACTGATTTATCATGACCTGAAAGCACTGTTTTTGTTTTTGTTCTGTTTTTTGTGGCACTACGAGGCGCGTAATGTAAATTTATTATTTTGTGTATACTAGACGAAAACGTACTAATAATTCAAAATTCCGTAAGTATTAGAGGCCGTGGCGTGTGTGTTTTAAAATGATGTGCGCATTTTAAAAAAACGGCGTGACTGTGCGTTTTAATGGTATGTGCTTTAAAAAATCATGTGTGTGTATTAAATGGCGTGGGTGTTTTAAAAAACGTGTGTTTTAAAAATGACGCGTGAATTAAAAATGATGTGTGTCTTAAAATGACGTGTGTGTTTTACAATTATGTGTATTTCAAAAAAACGTGTGTGTATAAAAGGACATGTGTATTTTAAAAATAATGTGTGTTTAAAAACATAACGTGTGTGTAAAAACGATGCGTGTGTTTAAAAACGACGTGTGTGTTTTTAAAAATGGCGTGTGTTTAAAAACGACGTGCGTGTTAAAAAAATGACGTGCATGTTTTTAAAAATGGCGTGTGTTTAAAAATGACGTGTGTGTTTAAAAATGACGTGTGTGTTAAAAACGACGTGTGTGTTATAAAATGACGTGTGTGTTTTTAAAAATGGCGTGTGTGAGGTCGAATGAAAATTTCGTGTGTGTAAAAAGAAAAAAACGCGTGCATTAACTTATTTACGCCTGTGGGGGCGCTGTTTTGAATAGATTTTTTTTCCGTGTGTGTGTGTGCAAAAAAACGCGTGCGTTAACTCTTTTACGCCTGTGGGGGCGCTATTTGAGAGATTTATTTCGTTTGTGTGTTAAAAAAATCGCGTGCATTAATCTATTCACGCCTGTGGAGGCGTCCTCTCAAGTGGTAACCATTTTCGTTTGTGAATTTCTATAACGTCAATAAGGAAAATAAAATTTCTATAACGTCAATAAGGAAATAAAAAGGAACTTGTCCAGCACGAACATTTTATTCATTTTGCCCTATAAATTTACCGACACTGTGTATACCTCAGAGACCTGGTGATTTATTCGTGTGGTTGGTTGCTGAAGACAATGCGTGGACGTCTGGTACAATGGGGCAGAACAAAGTACTCATACTGGTATCACAGGCGCTCTGAACGTTTCTTGAATAATAAAAAATGACGTAAAGTAGGGTCGGTATAATTAATCAGTCGCCGGTA